TTCAGGTGTTCCAACAGGCGGACGGTACTGTGAGCCCTCTGTTCATTAAAACCCAAGCAGCACACTTAACCAAGAAACGAAATGCAGAAAAATGGGTCTATTAAAAGCAGAATTCACCTTGGAATTGACGTATTCATACTTGACTTGATACTAGCAGGATGAATTGTGGTGACAGGGGTCATTTTTGTTGACAACAGCTGGAAATACAACAGCTATATTATTATAATTAGGATCAGCATCAAGTTGGATGATAATAGGGGCTTTCTTGGAGAAATGGCACAGTGTCAGATTTATAGTCACTAGCTAAATGAGTCTCTTGTATCCTCGACAAAGGGACCAAAACAGTTCCAAATGAAAACACAAACAGAGAATCCTGTTGTTATATTTCCTGGGTGTTACTCAGGGTCCTATTTATCACACACCGACACTTGCCTCTTTGAAGAAACATTATCCTGCAAAGTTTACACTTTTCAATTTGCCTCTGTGGTCTGCATTCTGCATGCATTTCCATGGAGAAGCCTATACGGCAGCTTGACTAGAAATCTTTTCTGCTGCAAGATTAACCTCAAAGCATCCATTTTTCCCCCCTCTGGGTAATCACTTGACAAATTCATCCACAGAACCTCCACACACATCTATTCCAGTGTACAGGTACATCAACAGTCTTGAATCACTATTAGGAGAAATATCACCTTTGACGGAAAGGAGTGCTGCCTTTTCATTTCCAGATGTCTAACGTTGAAAGATGCGGATTTCCGGAGAAGCCAGACATCAGGCAGCAATATTCTGGATGAAGATGTGGGTAAAAGCTCGTCTTAGCTCTGTTGCAGTCCTCAGCCCAGTAGTTCATCTTGGCAGGTGTATGGGACTTGCATGGGTTGGGAGATGTGTCGTCATTCATTTGAATGTCATCTATTCAAATAACTTCGAGAAACTTACACTGGCGATGTGCCTGGATTTGTGCTCACTACATCAAAACACATTTTATTTTTGAGCCCACAGCAATTTTATACCACAGAGGAAACTGACATGAGGTGGATTGGATAGGAGAATGTGAGATTGTGTGTGCGTGTTTTCTTTTATAAAAGGACGTGAACATGTTGTTATATTTGGAAATTTGTTTTTGTATTTTCTCCCCAAATGTAAAGAATATACTACTATTAAAATGATTATACAAAGGTATATTTAGTTATAAATTATATCACCACCACTTAAAATTAGTTTATTATCCAGTCTCACATGTACATACACATAATATACTTATAATAATAGTGACAATAAGCTCTCAGAAATATTGTTAAGAATATTTTCTACATTCTTTGCATAAATTATTACATTTAATGATCTCAACAAGCCTAGGATGTAACAATTACTATCACCTTCCTTTTTACAGATTAAGGAACTGAAGATGAGAAAAGTTTTATTACTTGGCCAATGATGCAGAACTAGTCAAAGTTGGGAATGGAATATAAACCAAATGTTCTGGTTCAAGGCAGTTTAACTGCAAATTTATCTTTGCAGCCACTTTTCTATACTTATATTATCTCATTTGATCCTCACACAAATCTTTGAGGTTTGCAGAATAAAAATTACCACCTTTGCATATGAAAAAACTGAATCACAGAACATGCAAATGACGGAAATTCATCTCCTTACTCCTGCCTCAGTGTTTGGCAGTGGGAGGACTGGATGCTTCTCCTAGTAAGGTAACATCGAGTTACAATAATCAATGGAAATAATTGTAATGATCATCAGTCTTATGATAGTAAACTCCTGAGAAAATATTCCCAACTTCCATTTAACAAGAAATAATCTCCATGGCTCCTTATGTATTATGAATGGTATAAAAAATACTTCACTTTATAAACACATCTGAGTAAGAGTTCTTCAAAGTAATCATAATAGAAATTAATTCTTCTATGGAATAGTGGAGTTAATTTTTTAAAAAGTCTGGTGTTCATTATAGTCATTCTGAACTATGGCTTTACGTCAGAATTGTCTGAGAAGATTAAAAAAAATCCTCAACCACCATCCTTATTTTGCCATCCTGTAGATCTAAACGAGATCTAAATATTTTTAAAGCTAGATTCTAAAAAGTAAGCAGAGTTGGTACTTACAAGCCTAGCATTTGGTAATTTCTGTGCTAGGCTCCTACGTATATTATTTTAACTCTCATAAAACTCTAATATATATTGTAGATTTGAAATGCGAGGCTAAGACAGGTCAAATGATTTGCCCAAAGAGGCAGAGATAAGTGTTTCAGAATAGGATGGAATCATTTCATCTGCAAAACTGTTAACCCCCAGCTACTCTGTCCAAATGTGCCCGCCTACACATATATACACAGTAATTCTGCGTTGTTCAGAAACCATCTAGATTTACTTAAGAGTCACCAACTGGAAGATAATTTTGGTGATGACTAGGGTTTTTGACTGTTCAGTTCTCTTCCCAGTGCCTGAGCAGCGCCTGGAACTGAGTGCTCGCACTCATGAACATAACTCTGAGTATAAACCTTCACTTTATTTTTCTGATAATGTGTTACTTCGTAATGGGGAAAAACATTTCTCCTCAAAAACAAAACAAAAAGTCAAAGTAAGCAAAAGCAAAACAAAAAGTCATGGCACGGTCTTCTACATGGAAGAATTCATCCTTTCTCATCTGTCTCTGAATCTTGTATTAACTTTTTTTTTAACTAATAGTCGCAAAAATAGATTCTGTATGCCATTCACTCAGTTTATCCCCAGTTAAACATCTCACGTAAACTTAGCATAAGGGCCAAAACAAGAAATTTAGCATTGGCATCGTTGTCATTGCCCAGTGTTAATGTTTTCTCACCTCTTCCCTGGACTATTGTTGTAACCTCATAACTAGTCTGATCTCCTAATCTTCTATGTCTCTGCCTCCAATTGACTCTGGGAACACTAACAGGGAGAGGCCCACAATGTAGGAGTGACCTCTAAATGAAGTATCTTCTCTATTTCCTACAGGATAAAGCCAACACTCACCATCCTGTCGTTCAGATGCCTCTTGAGTTCTGTTCTCAGCGTGCATCTTCAACCTTAGCTTTGATGGCTGACTTTTCCAGCCATCTCTCCTCCTAAAATTGTTTTTTGGAACTTTCATCTCATTCTCTTCCTCTCACCTGGGGGGTTTTTCCTCTAGTTCTTTTCCATCCCACACAATATTCAAATAACTACAAATATTGTACTTTCACGTGCTTATTTTCACCAGCTAGTTGATGATTATTATATAATTATTATTATAGTGTCTGGTGGAATGTATGACCCAACTGACATTCAGTGCATTTTTTTCCTAACTGTAGATTTTGTAGAACCTCTGAATCATCATTTTGTGTAGAAATTTCAATTTTACAGTCCTATCGACTGCTCAACAAATATTGTTGCATCTTCCTGTATAGTGACTATAATTCAAAGTGCTACAAAAAGAGTTTGACTGGCAAGCTCTACCTTATTTTAGTAAGCACAGAGGTATGCTGCTGAGATCTACCCGCGACTTCTTTGAGGTTTAAAACACTCTTGCCCCCATTGCCAGAAATGTTGTGATTGACAGCTCAGGGCTGATTATTCCACAGCTGAAAAGAGACCTGTGAAGGCCAAGGCCAAGGCTCCTTTCTCAGAGGGGTTCCCTTATCCAATCCCCGGTTAGTGCTAGAGTCTAAAGGCCCGTCCCCATTTCCTCAATGACCATCGCAGCTCTAGAGTCCACAGAGGCCTTTGTTTTAACAGCACCAAGTGCTTCTTCTGCCCAATATTATCCTTTTCCACTTCCCCCAACAGATATGGACCAAAGAACACTCCCCAATAAAAATTCTGCAAGAAATTTTGAGCCGAGAGTCTACTTTCTAGGAAACTCACCTCTGGTGCTTACCTACCATTCCTCATTAAGTCATCAGATAGTTTATTCATTCATCCGCTCATTCCATTAGCAAATATATGTTTGATAATTATTATCTAGTGACACTGACCAGATCAGGGAGACATTGACCCTGCCCTTGTAGAGCATGATACTTGTAATGACACCAGACTTCTCCGATTTCTCCCCAGTTTCACCAGTTCCCCAGAATTACAGTCTCTCAGACTATTTTGCCTTTACTTAAGCATGACTTATTGCTTAGAATTCCTTCCCTTCTTCTTTTGGTTAAACTCTTTACCTGTCTTTAATAATTTAACTTGAATGTAACGTCTCTCAGGAATTCTTTTCTGACCACCCTCTCTGTGCTGGCCTGAGTGAGTGACCGATGCCCAGTGCTGTTGCATTCAGCTGAATTTCTATATGTACCTGTCAGTCCCCTCTTCCCTCCCACCACCAAACTGTAAGCTTCTTGCCTGTAGATTTTGACTTAGTATATCTACTCTCTATCAGGCAAACTGTATGTGCTTAACTGCTGAATGAATGAGAAAATAAAAAAATAAATTAATCTGAAAAAAAGGTTTTGCTTATTTTATCCATCAGGCTTAAATACCTAAAAGTGCTTATTAATCAATGGTTCCAATATCATTTTGTATTCTGAAGAATTACATAAGATGGATAAAATATTATTTTAGTATTTCTGTACAGGTTTTACAAGCAGCCTTTTTTTTAAAGATTTTTTTTTTGTGCTTTTGCAAGACTGAAATGCTACATGTTATATTGTATTATTAAGCTTACATTTCATATTTCTTTGGTATGTTTTCTTTTCAATATTCTTCAAACCCACATGAGTCTTTAAAATGAAAACTACAAAGGAATCTTAAATAGTGCAGATTCTAAAAGGGCCATCTTTATATGGTATTCCAACTTCCCAGTATTCTTTCTTTTAAAAGACTTCGATATTGTTGAAGTGATGGTGAAGTCGTTTATCTCCATATTTTCAGAGAGATTTCTTCCTTATTCCCACACATGGATTTCTGTATAATATGCTTAGCAAATTTTAGCTCTTGGCAAAGAATAATGTGTTAATTGTTATCTTTCTCACTCTCTCTCTCCTTTTTCTTTTTTAGGTACGTCTGTCACTAATGTAACAGCCACCGATGCCGATGACCCAGTTTACGGAAACAGCGCAAAGCTGGTGTACAGTATCTTGGAAGGACAGCCCTATTTTTCCATCGAGCCTGAAACAGGTTTGTGGCCTAAATTTTGAATTCGATTTGCCATGTTATTGCTTCAGGGAAACATTTTTCTTGGGATTCGGATTATGAGACGTTATGGTTAAGTATTTTACTGACTCTCTCAGTAATATTTGAATGTATTCTTTCTGTGCAATGCGAGGGACATGGCAAGCCCAACAATCATTCTGATACTGATTAAAACAAATTGCAGATCCTTGGTAGACTATCACCTGTTTAACAGATGGCCTGGCACCATTTTTCATCCTGGGGGTGGGGGAGTGCTTAAATATCAAATTTAAGACGAAATTTAGTTACTTATTGGCTGTATGATTCTTGGCAAATAACATTTGTAAATCTTTCTAAGTTTCAACTTACACTTCTATAAAGTGGGTATGGAACCTACCTCGTAGCATTATTATCAAGATCAGATGAAACAGTAAATATCAGCCATACAGTACATGATATGTGGTAACAATTCAATGGATGGATATGACATTTGTTATTAGATTCCTTATTTTTAAAACAAATAGCTACTGATATCTACTCACTAGAATTCTTTATGAAGATATTGTGTGTTACATTGTTATATATAGCATGTTATACTATTTTTATTGTTATTATTATTAATACCAATATTAACCTAGCCAACATCCTGAATCTGATGGTACAGATTTTAGAAACCATAACTTCATAAAATAATAGTTTTTGCAAATAAAGGTAAATGTTTTTATTGTTCAATTTTAATAATATATTACGAAAGTAAAGCCATTTTGTTAGACTTTTCATAATCCATGGTTTTTTTGGTAGCACATTTAAAAATGATCATAAATGACAATATCTTTGGTATGCATTTTTCTTCTGTACCTTGTGGTTTTGTCTGCAAATTTCCAAGTAGAAAGATTTAATATACAGTTACATATACATATAATACCATTACTTTGATTTATGAGTTTTCAGCATTATTGAGTTAAATTTTCATATCTTACCAGTAAGTCAATTATTAATTAAATTAAAAATTTAAAGCCCATCTTTGCTTTTCTTTAATTCAAAGAGTAAAATCCTCATGCATTTAAAAGTGAGAAACAGTACGTTTATACATAAATAGGTCATGACTTAACATTGAATTTAGATTTAGAAACAGGAAAGAACTCTTCTAAAGCACATTAATTAGGGGTATAATTACATATTCTTCCTCAGAGAAGAAGGAAGTCTGTCATAAATGTCACCTCATTGGGGCTCCTTGAGGACCCTGGGGAAGTGGAAGAAGAGGTAATCAGCTCTGGATTTTAAGGAAAAAGCAAAAGTCTGGAGATGTTCTATTATTTGGCCAAAGTCACAGGGACAGAACTGGGAGCAGAACTGGAATTCACACTCAGGTCTTTAATTTCAAAGTCACTGTCAGATACATTTGAACTTCACTTTTCATAGGAATCATTATAGTACAAGGGCTTGTATAAAACAAAAACATGTTGACTGTTTAAGTGGAGTTGAATTATTTTCTCCTTTGCTTCTTGACTATTTATTCATTTTTTGTTTACCATTCCCAGTACAACATAGATTTAATCCAGCAAATATCCATTCAGGCTTCACTTTGTGTTAGGCACTGAATTAAATATAAGGAGAAAAAGTCATAATGGCTAATATCATCTTGCAAGTATCTCACAATCCATTTTGGCAGACAGATTTTTATTTTCAACATAAATAAAAAAGAAGCATGGTGATGTCATTTAAATAATTCATATCTCAAGAATAGTAAATTACCATGAGATACAATCAATACAAATCCATCTACTGAGTTAGAGGATTTGGGTGCTTTTAAGCCTCATTGACATATATGACCATTTGCTTAATTAAAAATTGTCAGCAACATTTAATATTTACATTTTCAACCTAGCATAATGAGTAGCCCTCTGGACATGCATTTATTTTAGATTTATTGTGTCCAATTTGACAGATACAAAATTATCTGATTTGTAGTTTAGAGAGTTTACTCTGGTACTATTGTGGAAAATGCAGTGGAGAGAAATGATACTTGAAGAATGTACAAAGTAGTTGCTTAATAAATATTGCTTGAGTAGAATTGAGCTTTTTAATGAAAACAGATACAATATGGAAAGAAATAGAGGCTAAATTCAATAATTAGTAAAGAGTCAGCCTAAGTTTTCTAAGTTCTTTAGCTGAAACATAAATATGTATGAGTGAAATGAAAACATTTTTGTGTAAATGCCGACATAATTACACTTGAGTGTGTGTAAATGAAAGCTGAGTGTTAGTTCCTATAGAATCTAAATGTGACTATCTGCAAGGCCTTTTCTCTCTTTAAAAAAATTTTTTGAGACTGGTATGACTCGGGGTGTGTGCGTGTGTGGTGGAGGGTATAAGTGCTATGCAGAAACAGATTCAGTACACTTTTTTAAAAGCTTATATTAGAAAAACAGAAAAAATGTACAAAGACCATTGAGCATTTAGATTTTTTATTATGTAAGCAGATGGAAAGTAAATACACTTTCTGGTGACCAAAATATATGGATTAGTTGTGTCCTCTGGGAAATAGACACTGTGACAGAGTTAGGAGAACAAGTGGTTTACTGGGGTTTAATGACTGTGGAAGATAAAAGAAGCGCTCTTAGTCAGTTCTGGCTGCTGTAACAAAATGCCATATACTGGGTGGCTTAAAGAAACAGAAGTTTATTTATCACTATCTGGAGGCTGGGAGTCTGCGATCAGGGTGCCAGCAGGGTCAGGAGCTGGTAGAGACTTCTTCTGGTTTGCAGATGGCTGACCTCGTATCCCCATGGAAACTCTCTGTCTTCTTTGTATATGGGCACTTATACTATTATTTATGAGGGTTTCACCCTCGTGATCTAATTATCTCTCAAAGCCCCCACCTCCAAATACCATCATACTGGAGATTACATTTCAACATATGAATTTTGGGAGGGACACACACTTTCAGTCCCTAACAGGCATGAAAGAGAATTAGGCAGGGGAGCCTGTCAGACTGATGCAGGTCTGATACCCAAGCAAGTCAAGAGGAGAGAAAGCAGGGATAAAGCGATGAGGATTTAACAAATCTTGGTCAAATTCGTGGGTATCCCTGTAGCAAAGATTTTTTTTTTTTAAAGGAATTTCACATTGCACAGAAATGGCCAAGCTTTAATATCACCAACCATGATGTCATTGGCTTGCGTTTGCCAGGGCATCAGCTCAGCTCCTAAAGACAATCTGAAAGATGCTTCAGGTGCAAGATGCCAGCTAACTACACTCTTAGGCAAGTTCTTTCTCAAAGAGGTATCCCAGCAGTGGGCCTCTGTGGCTGCCACAACATGTGGCAGAAACAAAAGAGAAAATAACCTTTGCCCTATCAAATCAGCAAGTGTGATTAAAGCAATAATTTACAGAGTTAGCACGAGTTTGGTGAATCACTAAGTCAAAACCTGATAATAGGAGTGTTAATAGGTACATTTATTGAAAAAAATTGAAGACTCTGTATCAAAAACATTAGAAATGTCTACTAATTTTGATGTAGTAATTTAAATTCTAGCAAAATAAAGAAAAATTTAGGGATGAGCACAAACTCATTACCATAAGGTCAATATGCCTCTGATAGAGTGGCTGACAGGTTGGCTCTCTATGTGGTTGGTCCGTCTGTGGCGTCAAGAAGCGACACAGCATAAATTAGTCTGAAAGTGTTGGCTGAACACCTGTACACATCACTACTGATGTGGGACTCATCCCTTTGTTCCTTTGTTTTTATTTTTAAAGTACCAGGATAGTGAAATTTGTCTTTTGGTAATAATTTGAAAAGATAATTTCTCAAGTTATAGACATTTTTGACTTAATATTTTTAGTATTTGGTTTACAGAAAAATTGAGAGGAAGGTACAGAGATTTCACATATATTCCTTGCACCAAACATGCATAATTTCCCCCATTGTGAAATTACTCACCAGAATGGTATACTATATTTTTTACCAAGGATGAACCTATATTAACACATCATAACCACTCCAAATCCATAGTTTACCTTCAGGTTCATTCTTAATATTGTACACTATGTGGATTTAGACACGTGAATAATGACATGCAGCCATCATTACAATACCATCGTTGTAGTTTCACTACCCTAAAAATCCTCTGAGTTCTGCCTGTTCTTTCCCTCACCCCACCCAATCCCTGGCAACCACTGATCTTTTTATTGTCTCCATAGTTTTGATTTTCCAGAATGTTATCGTTGGAATCATAGCATATATTGCTTTCACTCACTTAGTAATAAGCATTCACGGTTCCTTTGTGTCTTTTCATGGTTCGATAGATCATTTTTTAAAAGCTAAATAATATTCCATTGTCTGGCTATATCAGAGTTTATTTATCCATTCTCCTACTGTAGGATATCTTAGTTGCTTCCAAGTTTTGGAAATTATGATAAAGCTACCATAAACATTTGTGTACAGGTTTTTGCGTACACATAAGTTTTCAACTCTTTGGGGTAAATACTAAGGAGCATGATTGCTGAATTGTGTTAAGGGTATGTTTAGTTCTGTAAGAAAATGCTGCACTGTACCATTTTGCATTCTCACCAGCAATGAATGGGAGTTTCTAGTGCTCCACGTGTTCACTTGTATTTGGTGTTGTCAGTGTTCCAGATTTTGGCCATTCTAATAGGTGCGTAGTGGTATCTCATTGTTTTAATTTGCATTTCTCTGATGACATATGATGTGAAATATCTTTTTATATGCTTATTTGCCGTCTATATATCTTCTTTGCTAACATGTCTGTTAAAGTCTTTGACACATTTTTTTAATTGGGTTGTTTGTTTTCTGATTTTTACTTTTAAGAGCTTTTCGTACATTTTAGATAACAACTCTTTATCAGATACTGTCTTTTGAAAATATTTCTCCCAGTTTGTGGCTTGTCTTTTTATTCTGTAAAATACAGTATCTTTTACACAGCAGGATTTTTTTTTTATAATTTTAATCAAGTCCAGCTCTTCAGTTTTTTTCTTTTATCAAT